TTAGTTCTCCCGAGGCAACAATAAATGAACATGAGGAACCTGTCCTTCAGAATCCGTTGTTGCACATAAGGAAGAGCAACAACAGCCCCATATGAAACAAGCGCCAACTAATAAGGCATCCAGAAGGTCTCAAAGAGCCAGAAAATCAGCCATTCCCGATGACTACGACGTTTATAAATGTGAAGAATTTCAAATGGAGCGTGATCCCACCTCGTTTGAAGAAGCCATGAGAAGCACTCACTCATCGAAGTGGCTTGAAGCCATGAAAGATGAAATGAGATTAATGAGTACCAACGGTGTTTGGGACTTAAAAAAAATTCTTAAAGGAGCTAAGACAGTAAGTTGTAAATGGGTCTACAAAACTAAATATGACTCCATTGGGAATATGAAAAGATTTAAAGCACGACTTGGGGCGAAAGACTTTACGCAAAGAGAAGGAATAGATTATAATGAGACATTTTCTCTAGTTTCATGCAAGGATTCTTTTAAAATCATAATGGCGCTAGTGGCACACAACGATTTAGAATTACATCAGATGGATGTAAAGACGGCTTTCCTTAACACGAATTTAGATAAGAATGTCTACATGGCACAACTAAAAGGTTTTGTCGTAAAAGAAAAAAAAAACATATGGGATGCCGCCTGAAGAAATCCATTTACGGCTTAAAACAAGCCTTTAGACAGTGGTATTTAAAGTTTGATGGAACGATAAGGAAGTTTGGGTTTAAAGAGAATATAGAGGACAATTGCATTTATACAAAGTTCAAGAATGGAAAATTCATTTTTCTAATCCTGTATGTGGATGACATCTTACTTGCTAGTAGTGATGTTAATCTACTACTGGAGACGAAGAAGTTTTTATCCTCAAATTTTGATATGAAAGATCTCGGTGAAATTTCGTTTGTTTTAGAATAGAGATTCACCGAGATAGAAGAAAGGGGGTTTTAGGATTATCGCAAAAGGCATACTTAGAAAAGGTTCTAAAGAAATACAGTATGCATGCGTGTAAACCTTCACTGCTCCTATAGTCAAGGATGATAGTTTTGGTGAATTCCAATGTCCTAGGAACCAATATAAGATCGATCGAATAAAAGCGGTTCCATATGCTTCAGCTATAGAAAGCTTGCAGTATGCTCAAGTATGTACACGCCCTGACTTAGCTTTTGTTACCGGGATACTTGGTTGATATCAGAGTAATCCAGGAATAGAACACTAAAGAATAATAAAGAAAGCTTTGCGTTATTTGCAAGGCACAAAAGATCTCATGCTAACGTACAGAAGATCTGATTCCCTACATATAGAAGGGTATTCAGATTCAGATTATGCGGGAGATGTAGATGATAGAAAATCTATATTAGGTTATGTATTTACTCTCGCAGGGGAGCTATATCATGGAAAAGCTCTAAGCAAACCGTCACTGCATCGTCCACGATGTATGCCGAGTTTGTAGCATGTTATGAGGCCATGGGGCAGGTGAACTGGCTAAAGAAATTTATGCTCGGGTTGAAAGTGGTCGATGACATTCATAAGCTACTCAAGTTGTACGGCGACAATGAGCCATCAGTATGTTATGCTCACAATAATAAGTCAAGTGGTGCTGCCAAACACATTGACATAAAGTTTTATGTTGTAAAAGGCAAAGTCCGGGATCATTCTATTAGTCTCGAGCATATAAGTACAAAGAAAATGCTTGCGGATCCGCTTACAAAAGGCTTACCGCCCAATGTGTTTAGAGAACACTTAGCCGGCATGGGTTTACGGGAAAGCCTATGATTGCTGGACAATAAGGGCCTAGTTGAGAATATGTTTCAAAACAGAGAGGTGTATTGTAACTGTTAATCTAATGGTACTAAATGTTGTGACAAGGCACGTTCTGTGCACTAATCTGTGATGGAATGGAAAAAAATAAAGTATTTTAAGTTCAAGTTGAAAAGTGAGATCAAGGGGAGAATGTTAGGTTGATCTCGTCCCGACTCGGTCCAACAATAGAGTCGGGGCCTTGATCCGCGCCCTGATCGGGGGCGCCCAACCGAACCATGGTCGGTGAGCCCCCATCGCACAGCGCCAAATAAAAGGAGGTGGGGACCGGGGCACTCGGTACGAGGTTCACCATGCCGCCACAAACCCCATCAACACAACCCTAATCCGATCTAGAGAGGGGGCGCTGCCAACGACGGAAAGACTCACCGCTGCCTCTGCACCACACCCGTCGTCTACACCGCCATCGGGACGCCACTGCCTCATCGCCACCTACACTGACGCCATGGCGAGTTCCTCCGCCAAGCCCACCGATGGTCTGTGCCTCTACCTCTCTCCCCTTCTCTCTCTCTCGCTCTCTTTCTAGTCGATCTAGATTGTTTTATCTCGAATAGAAACATGTACACCCACTAATCTACACCTAGCCGATCCACTAAGCCTAACAACCTCTAGCTTGCTTCTGAGATCTTGGGTGGAATGGAATAATGGCGAATGATGGAGAGAGGGGGAGGTATATATAGAAACCGCTTCCTGCTTCCTGCTTCCTGCTTGCTTTGCCGAGTTACCTGCTGCCTGCCTCCAGGCTAGGTGAGATCGTCAGGTCAGGTGTGCCGTGGCGGTGGACCGTGGTGATGGCGCTGCGGGTGGGTCATGATGGGAGATGGGTGTTTCGCTGTGACTGTGGACTGTGGTGGTAGCCAGCTGCCGCGTGCGCACGGTGCACAAGGGAGAGGATTAGAGGAAGGGCGAGTGCAGATTGGCAGGAGGGTTAGCCGCCACCGGGTTTGGACGCGTGGTGAAACAGCTAGCTGGTTTTGCCTCTCAGAGTGTAGTACAAGTATACTCCACTATGATAATACGATATTAGTAGTAATATGGTACTATGGCACGGCCGTACGGGTACCCGTTTGACTAAGAATACGTAGAGAGATACTATCTCTATCCTAAGAATATTGCAATTTTGACTATGGACCGAACAAAACTACTTATTCATAGTTGTATATTCTTTATGACGAGCGTGGGACAAGTAGAATTTACTAATTTATTTCTAAATTTTCAAATATAAAAATCCTTTGTCGTTAAAAGTATTTGTAATGATGGTACAACAAGAAACTTGTATTATCATCAGTCTACATATATGTATAGCTTTTACATATTAACGATCAACAAAGGTTGAAAGGAAACTCTGCTAGTGCTCGATCTGTGGGTCGATAACAGTACCAGTCTAGCTATACAGATGATCTATGGGTTTCGGCTTTAGACTTTGGACGGATGCTATGCTGCCGATTTATTTTGCGGCGAGTGAGATGCGGATATTCAACCATGCTGCCAACGGGTACATATACATCGTGGATGCATAAGGACGGAAAATAAGCAGTGCGTGCATGGCAAGAGCGCATTCATTGAACCTAGCCGGCCGGCCGGGTGTCCACTCCAGCCGAGCTACTAGTATACTTTGTACACAGCGCTCCTACTCCTAGTAGTGGGACTCTTGATCGGACGGACGATATCGACGTGGGTCTCGCTCCGTCGGCGGCGGATGGATGAACTGGCTGGCACTGGCGCTGGCCGGAAGCACAGCGGCGGCATGCAGATGCAGCTGGTGTGGCCTGCGTTTCCGAGTCGCTGCGCGCATCTCGCATTCAATACGGCCGCAGACGCGGGGATGAGTCAGCGACGCGCGCGGGGACCCGTCGCCGAACGAGTAGCTGGAATACAGCAGCAGCAATTCCTCCCCGCAGGCCTGTTTATAGTTCCAGGCTGTGAGAGATGATCTGGATGGATGGCTTCAAATCATAATTAAACACGTTCTTTGCGGACCTGTTGACAAGGCTAGCTGTGAGCTCAGCTGAGCGATGCACACGCGGTCGTCGTCGCACCAGAAACACGCAAGCAAGCAGCAGAGAGCTACTCTAGCGGCGGGCTCACAACAAAAAGGATCGGAGCGTCAAAATCGCACGACTCGCGGCGCGGCGCACCGGCTGACGGGCTGATGAACCGTAGACCCGTAGGTGCCGTTTGGATAGTGGCAAATGTGGGGTGGGACAGGGAAACGAGGGAGGAAAATATCCTATCTATTGTTTGGATTTTTGGAATGGAGATAGGGATAGGGAAATGATGCGGTCTTTTCCCTAACCTCCAAACCCAATGGAGGGGGTGGATTATGGCCGGGTTATGACCGAGGCTGCGCGTCGCTTTGCCGCGCAGGCCGTCGGAGCCCACGTCGCTTCTATTGTTTTTCTCTCTAGCGCGCGATGGCGCGACGGCAGTCCGTGATGGCCGGAGAAGGAGTCGGCGCTGCCACGGCCCCTCTCGCCGGCGCGCGCTCCCCGGAGGGAAAGCACGCCGCCGTCGAGCGGCCCCGTGTCGGCGCCCTGAACTCGCGCCCACGTGTCGCCGACTCGGCGACGAGCAGAGGCTCGGGCCTTGCCTTCCTGCGCGACGGCGGTGGCCTGCACACCTACGAGGAGTCGTCGAGCGGCGGCTCGAGGGCAGGTAAGCCCCCTGTCTACTTCTCATCTCGGGCTAGGGTTTCGATCCGAATCGAAATTCATTCATCTCCTTCTAATTTCTTCTTCTTTTCTACCCCAAATCCTAGATTTACGCCCAGGTGAGGCGAACCAATACCATTGTTAGGCTTAGTGGATCGACTAGGTGTAGTTCAGTGGATGCACATACTTCTATTCGGGATAAAACAACCTAGATCGACTAGAAAGAGAACTAGAGAGAGAAGAGGAGAGAGGTAGAGGCACAGACCATCGGTGGGCTTGGCGGAGGAACTCGCCATGGCGTCAGTGTAGGTGGCGATGAGGCAGTGGCGTCCCGGTGGCGGTGTAGACGATGGGCGTGGTGCAGAGGCGGCGGTGGGTCTTTCCGTCGCTGGCAGCGCCGCCTCTCTAGATCGGATTAGAGTTGTGTTCGGTCGAGCGCCCCCGATCAGGGCGCGGATCTCAGGCCTGCACCGAGCCGGGAGGAGATCAACCTAACAGAGGTTTCTTCGTCGTGCTGCTACACATAAGAGGATGAGGCCGGAGAGTGGTGTGTCAGGTGTTGCAGTGAAGCTAATGGCCGGCGCAGGCGAGGCCCCGTCGAGCTCATGGAGGACGCCGACACCATACATCTTCCTGGGCCTCGCCTTCGTGATGGGCGTCATTGCGGTTGCGCTGCTCGTGCTCATCAACGCGCGCAAGAAGGCGTGGTCATCGTCGTCCGACGAGAAGGCAGCGGAGGCGGCGCACGCGCTCGTGCCGCTGGACCGGGAGCCCAAGGTCGTCGTCTTCATGCCCGGCCACCACGCGCCGTCCTTCCTCGCCAGCGCCAAGCCGCTCCGCGGTGACGGCGCGGCTGCAGTGTAGGCAGTGGGTGAGGACGAGATCGAGGCTACCCCGCGCGCGCCAAACCGCGTGGGCGTGGCGAACCGAGCCGAGCCGCGACGCGCGGCCAATTTTTGTAAATAGATTTTTTTCCCCATTGGCTAGCTTGAGACTTGATGAGACTTTGAAAGGCGGCGGCTTTTGAAATCAACGAAAAAGAAGTTTGGTTTTTGGTTTGGTTTGTTTCGGCAAAAGCTCCCGGCGGCTTCCATAAACGCGTCCGGCCTTTTGGTTTGGCTGCGTGTTCAGTACTCACGTCCTTCAGTTGGGAACTTGGGATCCAATCGATTTGTGCTTACAATTCTGTACGATCTTTTGTGCTGCATCGACCTTGCTTTGTTCGTCCATTAACGGTACGAGATCATATACGACACACACGCCGTCAGCGACGAGGAGCCTCGGCGGTAGTGTTTGCTGTTGCTCTCGAGTCAGACTACTGAGCGGCACAAACATGGCGTATATGAACCGAGGCCACCATCGCCTTATATGATGGGGCGCAAGCTTTTCGTGACACTCGATCTGACGATGACGAGAGACAGTCTCAGGCTGATCAACATCTGATCCGTCGTGCGTCGCCATCTGTGTACGCAAAGCCGAATAATAACCGATCAAGCCCAGTACAACCTGCCATTTTGTAGCATATACAGTGCCGGCCGGTCTATTCACAGCAACGCAGTTTTTCTATTCCTCGGTTCCAAATTACAAGTTTATTTGTTTTTTCCATGTATACTTCTTAGCGTTTGCTATATACATATATTGATAGCATATATTTAAGTTCATAACAAAAGCTATATACTTAAACAAGTCAAAATGATTATAGTAATTTGGAATGGAGTCTTTTTTTTTTTTGCCAAAGGTGTATATAGGGTGCTGCAATAGAAAATGAAAGTATTCCTGGTCTTTGTAAAATTACACAGTCAACTTATAAAGAACAAATAAAAGAGAGAGAGTAGGACACCCAGACAAAAAAATATATAACCAAAGTCTATTATCTATTATTGGTGAAGATGTTCAAAGCTACAATGTCCAGTGCTCTACTTGTTAAGGCTAAATAGACATTCCTTATTACACGAAGATGTCTGTTTAGCCCTAATAAGGAATGCCTTTTTATAACAATCTTCAAAGTCTCTGGCCAAACATACATTTCTTTTGATTGTCGCTTGGCTAAACCTGTGTCGAATTCCTTTCTAATTGCTTTTAATCTTCAACCACCTAATGGGACGGCTCCTATGTTTGGTGCTTGGAGAAGGAGCTTTGCTCCAAGTTTGAGGGATCTGATCATATAGTGGGGCTAGGAGCAATTTGGTAGGTTTTGTGGTTGAATAGAAATGATGCAGTGTTCAACAAAAAAATGTTCTAATTCTTGTTTGCAGGTATTCTTCAGGAAAACTTACTAGACCAGGCATTGGTCACTGTTGTCTAAAGAGGAAGCGACAAGATCATTAAAGGATGGGTGCATGCGCTTGGAAATACTGATGTTACAAGTGTTTGGGGAACTTGGTTGGCGTCATCAGAGAAGGATTGAGGGTTGTGCCTCTTAGTTGTTTGGTTTCAATTGATTAGGTTTAGATTGGACCGGTCACGTTTGGTAGTCTTGTTTAATCTTGTTTTTGCTTAGTGGAACTTGGTGTAAGAACCAGCTTTTATGTATCGGACAGTTATACTCATTCACATGTGGATGGGAGAGATAGGAATATTTTTATTCCTTTATCTAAAAAAATGTGAGCCTTGGAGTGCTTGTACAATTGGTAGACGGCAAGAGCGACAAGCTTGCTCATCTCTCTAATCCACCTCAACCAATAAGCTGATATGGTAGTTGATACGCCCGTTGTTCTACTTGCTCTGTCTCTGCAGTTTCTAGTTTTGGTTGTTTATGTTTTTCTATTTCTCTTTTGTCCGTGCACATTAGCTACATTAAATAATGTCACAGTAAGACAAGTGGACCTGGGCTCGCTCTTTTTTCATGAACTTTTTTTTGTTCAATTTTGGCATGCTATTCTTTTTATCTCTTGGCATGTTTTTTTTGTTTCTCTTTTGGCCAGCCAAATATTTAGGCCATGAGAAAAATTTGTCAAATTTGGGTGGGGAATAAAAGATGGCTTTACAAGAAGGTAATTTGAATGAAACTTACAATGACGATGATAATGCTTATAACAGAGAAAACTTGATAATACCCCTACTTTTAGAAACTATCTAAAGCAATTGTAAAAAAAATGCATAAGATCCTTGTCGAAAAAATGAAACTAAACATCAGTCTTCTAAACGTTCCAACACACCTTGCAGATAGAAAAGTATCGATTTTGAGGGTTGAAGAAAAGTGCACCTTACCTGGAAAAAAAAAGAATGAACAAAGAGTGACAAAAAGGGTAATTTTTTAGGAAGAGGCGTCACAATTAGTGCTTGCTTTCCTCATAGTAATATAACTTGGGACACAACAGCAGTAGCAACTTGGATTAATTCAGTACCCACCCGCTTTTTTTCTTCATGAGATGCCATGAAAGGAAAAGGTTAAATATATAATTTGACATGTAAAATTTGCATACATGATTTGTGGTTGTAAGTTGTATAAAAGAAGTTCAATAAAACAAGTGATGCATATAACTTGTGGAGAAAAAAAGGGCAAGAGAAAAAAATCAATAAAGCAGTATACATAATATGTAAAAAGACCTTTATTCATAATTTGTTATACAAAAGTTGTGTACACGATTTCTTATACAAAACTTATGTATATAATTGGTAAGAATTCCAAATATAACCTAAATGTAAAAAGTTTATATACATAATTTCTTATGTAAAACTTGTGATGATCTTAACTCTCTCTACATAACATAACAATAGTAAAGTGCACAGGCGACCCTTAAACTTGTTCGGTTATTGTCATCTCAATATTTAAAATCACAAATCGCTCGTTTAGGTCATCAACTTGTTTTATTGTTTTATCCCATTTCTAAACTTACAAATCAATTATTTAGATCCTCAAGCTTGTTCAATTGTGTCATGGGTTTATTAACTAAAAGCTTGGTCTTTTGAGATACGGCGATGGCGGCCTCGGTTCATCACGCCATGTTTGTGCCGCTCAGTCAGGCCGGGCGCCCTTTTGGAGAAATTTTCGATCGATTTCCTTGCGCTAATGAACTGCTAGATTTATCAGATGAATCACTACAGGAGGGCCCGGCCGTCAGTCTGACTCGGATCGGAGGAAACACCTACCGGCTGCCGCCGAGGCTCCTCGTCGCTGTGACGGCGTGTGGGCCGTGTCATCCCATACCGTCAATGGACGAACAAAGAATGGTCGATATGCAGCACAAAAGATCGTACGGAATTGGAAGCCAAATCGATTGGATCCAACTGAACACGCGCAGCCAAACCAGAAAAAAACGCCGTACGCGTTTGTTGAAGATGGAAACTATATATGGAAGCTTTTGCGCAACCAAAACCAAACTTTGTTTCACTGATTTCATTTCAAAAGCCGCCGCCTCCCATGGAAACGAGAGAAAAAAGAAAATACTATCGACAAAATTGCCCCCGCGTCGCCGGCTCGACGCCGCGCTCGGTTCGCCACGCGCGCGCGCGGGCTAGCCTACACTACTGCCGCCGTGCCGTCACCGCCGAGCGGCTTGACGCTGGCGAGGAAGGACGGCGCGTGGTCGCCGGGCATGAAGACGACGACCTTGGGCTCCCGGTCCAGCGGCACGAGCGCTCGCGCCGCCGCCGCTGCCTTCTCGTCGGACGACGATGCTGACGCCTTCTTGCGCGTGCAGATGAGCACGAGCAGCGCCACCGCGATGACGCCCATCATGAAGGCGAGGCCCAGGAAGACGTACGGGGTCGGCGTCTTCCATAGGCTCGGTGGTCCGCCGCCGCCGCCGCCCATTAGCTTCACCGAAATACCCCCACCTCTCTCCGGCCTCATCTTCTCTCCCTTCGTATTCTTCTTCTTCTTGTATGTCTAACAGCACAATGAAGAAACCTCTAGCTATCGGCTTGCTTCTGAGATCTTGGGTGGAATAATGGCGACTGGTGGAAGAGAGAGGGGTGGTATATATAGCGGCTGGGGCCTGCTTGCTTTGCCGAGCAGCCCCAGGCCAGGTGAGATCGTCGTCAGGTGGTGTGGACTGTGGTGATGGCGCTGCGGGTGGGTCATCATGGCCTCATGGGCCATCATTAGCAGGAGGTTAGCCGCCACCGGGTTTGGACGGAAGAAAGTGAAACCGCTAGGCGCTCGCAGGTTTTGCCTCTCGAGACTGGTGGCCTGGTGGGACAACGGCCACCACTACCAGGGGGAGAAAGCTGGGTGCTGTATGCGCCTCCACGCACCAGCTGTGTGATGTGAAAAACTGAAAACGTAGATATGTATTCTAGGGAATGCATGGATGGTATAGTATCCTAGTATCCCGGCCTTCGTTCAAGATAAAAACATTTCTGGCATCCGGATAGATGTATGCATTTTTTTTTTTGGTTTGTTTAGATACATATAAAAAAATGCACTTACTTTGCTACAGATGGTGTACGCGTGGGAGCGTAGTACAAGTATACCCCACAATGATAATATTATATTATATGTTAGTAATACGGTACTTTGGTATGGCCGTACGGGTGTGTGTTTAACTAAGAATGTAGAGAGAGATACTATCTCTACCTAGGCCCGGCCCTGGGGGGGGGTTCGAGCTGTGCCCTCGCTGGGGCCCTCGAACCAAAGGGGCCCAACTCCGTGCGTGAGAAGTGAAGCCTGAGATGGGAAGCCTGAAGCCGTCCGCTACATCCAGTGTCAGTGAAGCCGCATCGTTGCGCCCTCGCCGTCGCCGCAACCTCGCCGCTCCATGCGGCCTCGTCGCGACTCGCCACCTCGCTGACAGCTGACCTCGCTGACAGCCGATCGCAGCCACGTGATTCAGGACGACGCGAGTGACGAGTCCATACGTGAGGTTTTTCAGACTTCCCATTCAGGTACGTATGTTTGCCCAATCGCTCCTAATCCTTTT